AGAGAGGGAGCTCGGCCATCAACTACAACCAAAGAAGAGGGGCGCAAAGGAAGCTGCGTGGAGAATTTGATCTGCCGTGCCTGGAGTGTGGGGGATAGTGAACTGGAGTGTGACAGATGCCCAGTGGGGAGAGGCCGTTGCTATCTGCCTGAGGGGAGAGAGAGAATGAGACCAACAGAGTAAGAGGGGCATTCCCTTGCTCCTCACTCGGGTCCCAGGCCAAAGCTGGCAGGTCACAACCTACTGACTGCACTCAGTTCTTTCATCATACTTCTTATATTTGTTAGTCTATTTACTTTGTTGCACCTGCATTTCCTTTTGATACAGAGACTGTTTGTGAGCTAGTATCAAATACCATGATTCCCCTTTTATGCATCCTCCTCTAATGGGCTGTCCTTAGAGCTGGCAGCACTTCCACCAAGAGCAGGGGCAAGAATGTGTGTTCCACAGGGACCAGATGAAGGGCACAAGGATAGGGGCCAGCCTAGAGCTACCTGGAGAGGGGATACTGCATTAGTTTCCTGGAATTATAGAAAAATATCACCCCAAGATTGGTGGCTTAAAATGACAGGTATTCATTCCTTCACAGTTCTTGAGGTCAGAAGTTTGAAATCAGGGTGTTGGCCAGACCACATTCCCTCCATATGCTCTAGGGAAGAATCCATCCCTTGCCTCTTCCAGCTTCTGGTGGCTGTGGGCATTCCTTGGCTTGTGGCCACATCACTCCAATCTCTCTGGTCACATTGCCTCCTCCTCTTCTGTCTGTGTCAAGTCTCCCTCTGCCTCTCTCTTATAAGGATACTTGTGATTGGATTTTTAGTTGTCCCTGGATAATCAAGGATAATCTCCCCATCTCAATAATCCATAATGTGATCACTTCCACAAAGTTTTGTTTTTGACATAGAAGGTCACATTTACAGGTTCCAGGGATTAGGACATGGATATCTTTGGGGGGGGGCATTATTCAGCCTACCATAGGTATGGAGTCCCACCAGAGAGTCTGTTGGATGGACTGATGGATGAGCAGGGCTTTTGGGCCCAGGAGGCCTCACTCATGAAGTAGATGCTTCAATATACTCCTTACATTTGCCAATCCATGTACTTTGCTTGCATCTACATTTCTTTTTGAGACAGAACTGATTTATCAGTTAGTATCAAAATACTATGATTCTACTTTTAAGTATCCTCTGCTAATGGTCACACTATTCTGAAGAGTAAGCAGATCATTGTGGGGGCATGTCTATACAATGGAAGAAGAATACTACCTCTCAGACAATCCTGTCTTCCAAGATAAGTAGCTCAGTGCCTCAGTGAATTTATATAACCCTTGGTAGGTGTTTTTTCCCCCTTGGTAGGTTTTTAGATTGTCTATTTGTAGTAGGTAGGTTAAATATGGCTACAAATTCTTTGTTGCTACTTCCATTGAGAGATGGAGTCTAATGCTTGGCCAATAGAATGTGGCAGAAGTGATATTCTGGAATTTTCTGAGGCTTGGTCTTAGGAAGCCTGCAGCTTCTGCCTGGGTCCCATGACTCTGTCCATCATGTTGAAGAGATCATGACCTACAGGCACTCTGGTCATCCCTCACAGCTAAGTCGGGCCTTTCAGCCACCTTACCAAGGTGCCAGGGATGTAAAAATGTCTTGGACTCTCTAGAACAGCCTGTCCACAAGCTGGACACCAACAAGTGAATAGAAGAATCACACAGCCACTCCCTGCCTAAAATGCCTGAGAGATAATGATGGTTGTTGTAGGCCACTGAGGTCTGAGTCATTTGTTAAGCAGCAAGAAATAACTGGAACAGCAATATGGAGGAAAGAATTTTGGAGTCGGGGCTGGACTCAAATTCTAGCTTTATTATTTATTATTATGTGATCACATCATTGTGTGATTGTCACAGGTTACATAGCTTCTCCTAGCCTTGGTTTCCTCCTGTGCGAGATGGAGGTGGTTATATCTACCTCCAGCCTCATCATGAAGACGGAATGAGAAAAACAGAAGAGTCTGGCACAGAGCGGTGTTCCACAGAGTCCCTCTTCAGCCTCCCCGCGCCCTCCTCTCAGTGCTTCCCGGGATCCCCGGAGAAGGGCTGCAGCAAGCCGTACCGCCTGCCTCTGCTTCCCGCGGGGCTTGATTCTCTTCTCGATTTTTCCCAGCCACTCATGGCCACAGCTGTTAAAACACACCACTTAAGATGTTGGGGAAAGCACAGAATTCCCAAAGCATGCTCCTCATAAAATGACTCTGGACCCTTGTTCTAGAAAAAAAAATTATACTTGACTTTTAAAAAATTTATTGACTTGAATACCTACTCTGCTTTAATAAAGAACCAGGGAAGGAAATGTAGAGGGAAAAGGGATTTACAAAGAAAACTGGATTTAAAAAAACAAAAAGCTTGTAGCCAAGGAAGCTATCGGTTTTTGTTTAAAGCTATCAGAAGCAGAAGGAATAGGGGCTCTGTGTGCCGGTAGAGGAGGTGGGATTGTCATAAGCCGAAAGTAGAAGAGGCGGACAGGCGGGAGGCTCCTTCGCCCTCGGGCAGTCGTCAGGCAGGTGCATGGGTGCGGCAGGCCCCTGCGGGCACCGGCTGCCTCTGCAGCACCTCCAGACAGGAGGCCCAGAAATGGACATTTGAATGATTCAAACACCCTAAGCCGCTCGTGCTTTCAACAGCTTTGCCACATTTACTTGGCACGATTAGCAGAAATGGGAAACTGATGAGCTCACACTGCCCTTGCTCCTGTATTTCTGACAGTGCTCTACACTACACAGCAAGCCACAGAGAGTCGCCCTTTCTTCCCTGCCGGCAGCTCTTTTACAAGCTTTACCTCTAAGAGGCTCAATCTTCATCCAGACTTTGAGCCAGGACCCCGCATTTGCTTTCCATACTCCCCTCTTTGTCCTTATCCCTGCCTCTGACGTGCTCGCACTGCAGACGCCTGTGGGAGGTAATTCACCACTGGCCTATGAGGCCCTGACCCGAGGTTTGGATGCCTGTTCCTTCTTTGCATGTTTGCAAATGAAAGTTCCATCAGAAATGGAACTCTCTATTCATGGTAGCCAAATTATGGAAAGAGCCCAAAGTCCATCGACTGATGAATGGATAAAGAAGATGTGGTGTGTGTATGTGTGTGTATATATATATATATATATATATATATAATGGAATATTACCCAGCCATCAAAAAGAATGCTTGCTATTTGCAACGACATGGATGGAGCTAGAGGGTATTATGCTAAGTGAATAAGTCAGTCAGAGAAAGACAAATACCATATGATTTCACTCATATGTGGAATTTAGGAAACAAAACAGATGAACATATGGGAAGGAGTTAAAAAGAGAGGGAAATAAACCATAAGAGACTCTTAACTATAGAGAACAAAATGAGGGTTGATGGAGGGAGGTGGGTGGGGGATGGGCTACCTGGGTGATGGATATTAAGGAGGGCACTTGTGATGAGCACGGGGTGTTATATATAAGTGATGAATCACTGAATTGTACTCCTGAAACAATATTCCACTGTACGTTAACTAGAATTTAAATAAAAATTTGAAAAGAAAAAGAAAAGAAGTGGAAATCTCTAGTAAGTGAGGGAGTCTGTCCAGGAAATTCTAAACACTTGGACCTCAGAAAGGTGTGGATTAGTTCATGGTCAAATAAATGACTATGGCTAGTATTTGTACCTGCAATGTTTATAAAGCATTTCTGAAGTTAGACTTATGTTAAGCCTCACAATTCTCCAGTGAGGTAGGAAGTAATCCCATTTTATAGGGAAAAAACTAAGGTTTAGAGAAATTGTGCCCAAAGTCATACATAGAGCTACTAAGGGACAGAGCTGGACCTCAAATCCAAGTTGTTCGGTTCTAAATTCAGTGCTCTCTCACCATTTCATTCTACTTTCTGGTTACAATGAACATTATTAATTCACTCTTTTCCTGCCCCTGGGTTAGATTTTCAAGTAGGCAAGCATGACTTTTTTCCTAACATCCAGGATTTTGGCTGGGGAACTAACTGCAGGGCACTGAAGCCACACAGATTGTTATCAACTCAGGTGTCCTCATATTCCAGTCAATTTTCCATGAGTTTTTAAAGAGTATTAGAAGTTACCATTTGTGGAGTTCATTCTAGAACACCAGACCCTGTGATAGTTCCTTAACATACATTATCCCATTAATCCTTGCACGAGCTCACTGAGATCTTCCCATTTTGCAGATCAGGAGACTGAGGCTCAGAGATGTCAAATAGCTAATGAGCTATGGAGCTGAGATTCAAGCCTGACCCTTGACAGGAGTCCTGGACCTCCTGCTCTCTCCTTGGCCACCCTACCCCCAGCCCCAGGTCCTTGCTCTCCCTGCCACAGGAGACAGGGAACCGGACTCTTTAGCTCTGTCCTCTCCCTCTATGGGTGCTCCAGAGGGGATTGCCCAGGGAGAACGGGGAGGGATGGTAGAGAGGGGTACAATGCTGGACAGATCCAGGTGGTGCTGTTCACTGCACAAGTGCTAAGGGGAGCTTTGATAGAAGGTCCGCCAGTGATGAGTGTGAGTCTGTCCCCCAGCACAGCATGCCACAACGAACTTTGACTCATCAGAGCTACGATGTGGTTCCCAGAATCACAGGATCATTCCTGCAAGATGAAGGGTCTATTTGTAAATTTGTGTTTTTATCAGATTCTGAGGGATCTGTGTTCCTGCCTTCCCAAAACTCCCCCTTCTCCCTACTTCTGTATGCATGAAAGAGCCAAGAAACCCATTTGTCCTCTTGAGAGGGGAAAGGCTGTTATAACAACATGAAAGTGGGTGGCCTTTATCCTAACTAGGGACTAGATCTCCAAGACAATAAGTTTATAAGGAAACCTCTGGTGACCAGTCTCCGGCACCTCACTCCGCCACAAGTGGTCACCACAACTAAGCAGGAAGTCTGAAATGGTTTCTGAAGACAGGTCCCAAGCTTTGTCCATTTTCCATCACAGGCCTGTGTGGGAAATCTGCAGCAGACTCTTGAGTTTGACGAGGAAATTCTTTATTTAGTGAGGATAACTTGAAGTAAACTGTTCTCATGAGCAGGTTTTCCGATGGTCAAGATCCTACCCATAACGGTTTCTAAGCAAGAAGATCAGCACAGCAACAATTAGGCCAATGACAAATAAATCCCAGTATGGTCCAAGGGTGTTGTCCAATTTCATCCATTTCCATCTCATGGTGAACTGCTGGGAGAGACATTCTGTCAAAAAAAAATCCAAGCCTTCCACCCTCTCCAGACCCATCATCACCTCCCATCCCACCATCCAAAAGTTGCTCATTGTTGTTTTCAGAGATTTGGGACGTATTTGAGACAAACTTACATTAAAAAACAGGATATCTCGGAGCAAATGCACGGTTTCCAGTTTCATGAGGGCGAAGAAAACAGGTATGTGAGCATCCGGACTCGTTTGAGCAGCCATATCATATAATCTCCTGGCCAAGTGAATGTCCTAGAGATGGAAAAACAGCCCCTACTCATTAGGTGCAGATTCTTTAGGGGTAATTCAATGAAAGCCATTGCTTGAAATATCATTATTTATCTTTGGTAGGCCCCCTCCATTCCCACCAAGATATTCATTCAGCCCCTAACCCTTGGAACCTGTGAATGTTATGTTACATGGCAAAGGGGACTTTGAAAATGTCATTAAGGTTACAGACCTTAAGACAGAGAGATGATCCTGGATTACCTGCACAGACTCCATAGAATCCCGCGAACCCTTAAATACAGTTTTCTCATGGCTGAGGACAGAAGATGAAAGATATGGCAGAAGGCTTGGGAAGGGCTCCACTCACCATGGCTGGAGGGGTCTCTCAAGAAGAATGAGAAGAAATGCGGGCAGCCAGCAAGGAAATGGGACCCTCAGTCCGACAAGCACAGGAAACTGAATGTGCCCAAGAACCCGAGGGAGCCTGGAAGTGATTCTTCCCCCAAAGCTCCCAGGAAAGAACACAGATTGATTTTAGCCTGGGAGGCCCTACACAGAGGACAGGTCAAGCTCACCCAGACTTTTGACCCACAGAAACTGTGAGATAATGTGAGTTGTCTTAAGCCACTACACTTGTGGTGATTTGTTACAGCAGCTGTCGGAAACTAACACAAAAAGCCTTCTTGTATACTGCTGGACCAGACCTTAGCTATGATTCCTGTTAAAGAGGCAGAACCCTAGATACCAACAGTACAGCTCCCCAAGCAAATAACAATACAGATACTAAAAAGCGTGTAAGATTCCTAGTTTTCTTCATAGTACTTATCAGACCTGAAGTTCCAGAATTTGTTTCTTCATTTGTCCTTGTCCTCAAGGACCTGGACAACCTGTTAGCCCCTCAATTCCCAGTGCTCAGTGAAGTGCTGAGTACATAGCTGGTCTCTGATAATACTTACAGAATGAATGCATAAACTATTTAGTTCTCAGGCTGGAATTTGATTCCTCAAATGACATATTGTATTTCTAGGGACCTCCCCCCCCCACTAAATTAGGCCATGGCAGATAAAAAAATTGTTTTCTTTAATTTTCACCTACTTAGGGCTTTTTGTTTGCTTTATTTGTGCTTGTTTTCCCAAAGTAATGAAAAAGCTAAATATAGTTGCTTTTAAAGGTTGAAGGGCCTTGGGCCAGTCCCAGAATTGTACTTAGCTGGGTGCCTTTTCCAGTGGATAAGAAGAGAGATTTTTCACAAACCGTGGTTATCCTGTCTCTCTTTGTCTTTCTTCTACATCTCCCAAACCTCCGTTACACAGAGTGCAATTGTTCTGAACCCCTGTGGTCCCTGCTAAACCCACTTTTTGGGTGGTATTCTCTCTCAGCTGTGTTCTGCTGGTCATTTCTTAAATTTTTCCAAAGCTTTGTGGTCCCATAAGTTGATTTGTTGGAGAAAGAGGAATGTTCTTGCTTAAAAACTTAAAATGCAGGAGACTGTTCTGAACAAATCTTCCTGGCGACAGAGAAAATGAATGCTGTAAAAACTCTAATTTGTGTCTCTAATTCCAACAAATTCCGTGGGTGTTCATTTGAAAGCACTCTGCAGATTATAAGGGCTGTGTCACCCCCACACATGAAAGGCATATTGACTTTAATAGGGCATCCAGAGAACAGCAGCCTTTGTCAGTATCTCAGGCATTCATTCTCATTTGAAGCAGGCAATAGTTATTAATTTATTTCTTGAGGCACAAGCATCACAATTCAGTTGCTTAGTTTATAATAAAAACTAGCAAGAAGTACCATTAAAGTGGGATGGGCTCACTCCTTGCCCCGGGGACCTCACAATTCTCAGTGGGGGTGAGGCCAGACATGAAAGTCGTTCTTTAAAATTCCCAGAGAAATTCCTGAACCCACAGGCTAATTAGGACAGTTCATATAGAAGAAATTTTATTAGTAGGCTGTAGAAAAGACTCCTTGTTCTTTGATCCTTACTTAGGAAAAAAAATCCAAGTTTTCAAACAAAAAATTTATTTTCAAAAGTGTTTTGATGATGGCCAAGATTCATTCAGTAAGTCCACTGCACACCCAATCCACTGATATTTAACTTTCCTGTGGTACACTTGAGCTTATTTTGCTTTAAACTCACTGAGGAGATGATGTAAATGGATCTGCAGACTCTTCTTAAATAATGTGTTTCCAACTAAAATATCAGGTGTGCCAAAGTACTACCCAATGTTCACATGTTCAAAATAGCTTCTTATAATTCAAAAATACAGAATTCTCCAGCAATTCTCTGGCTTATGAAAATTGTTCAATTACATGATGCGGGAGTTTTCCAGCCCTGAATCTTCAGGGGTCATCAAAAACTTCTTATATGGGGACAGAGGTCATTTTTTGAATAATTTAATCTTGTTTTCTTACTATAAATATACCATATTCTAATAGGAGAAAACTTTGAAAACATAGAGATGAACAAATATTAAAAGCCCACCTACAATTTCACTGTACAGAGATAAGTACTGATCATATTTTATATACAACCTTCCAGCATTCCAGCATTTTTATATAAATTCATAGACAAACATACTTTTAACTTAGGAATTTTTCACTTTGCATAATATTTTGTCTTTTGCTTCCTTAATAATATATTTCAAACAACATACCATGTCCTAAGATATTCCTTTAGTCTATAATATTTTTATTTTTAATAGTTGCATAGTATTTCATAATAATGGATAATGCCATTATTAAATACTTCTTTTTTTTTTAAAGATTTTATTTATTTATTTGAGAGAGAGAGAATAAGTGACAGAGAGCACAAGAGGGAAGAGGGTCAGAGGGAGAAGCAGACTCCCCGCTGAGCAGGGAGCCCAATATGGGACTCGATCCCGGGACTCCAGGATCATGACCTGAGCCGAAGGCAGTCGCTTAACCAACTGAGCCACCCAGGCACCCCCATTATTAAATACTTCTACTGTGTGCTAGTCACCACTGTCATTTATTTAAACCTCGTGACAATTATATAGGGCAGATGATATTAACTCTACTGTAAAGGTGAAGAAACTGAGGCACAGAGAGGTTAAGTCACTTACCTAAATTCATGGGACTCGTGAGTGGCAGAGCTGAGATTCAAATCCAGGTAGTCTCCTTCTAGCCTGCTCACTTAACCACGGGGCCATAGAATAGATAATACAAAGGTATACTACCTCACGATGGTTTATAGAACATGCCTTCTATTTTGGAGAAGTTTGTTTATTTGTAGGTTTTTTTCTGTAATAAATAAAGTTATCTACATACAATTTTTTTGTTTTGCACACTTCTGATTATTAGGTGATAAGGCATTTATTTCAAGAGAAGTCATGGCCATTTCTAAGAACTGTGTGTTCTGTCTTGTCATATTTCTTAGAAGGCCATTCTAAATATCTAACTTGAACTTGTCCTTTCCAGAAAATAATTCTCTTCTGGTATTTAAAGCTTCAGCTCTAACATTCCATAAGTGGTCAGACCAGACAAATGAGAAATGAAAATGCTTCATGCCATAATTACTTTTATTTGTGACAGGTCTATTTATAATTTATTAAGGAGATGTGTTTTTTGTTTTCTCTGTAGGATCCCAAAAACGTGTTATCTGGTAGATCTAACTATATACGCTGGAAACTCATCTCCAAAGGCTAATTTTCCCCCACGTTTTGTCTTAATTTAGGATAGATTTCTTAGTCATTATCTTAAAATATACATGCTTTCTTCTATTACAAAAATTGTCATGTGTTTCTTATGCTTCATGTTATAAAATCACTTTAGAATAGGACCCAGCGGTACTGATCCATCCATGTGAATTCATTGTTCCCTTGTTCACATTTTCACAGCACTTTACTTCTGTGAGCTTGCACTAGTGCCATTTTAGGACATGTCTCTTCTTCTGTAGAAGACTATGAGCTCTTTGAAGGTTGTCTTGTTCTTGTATGCCTAGAACGAGGCACAGTGCTTCCTGACCACAAAACAAGCACTTGATAAATATTTGAGTGAAAAAAATAAAGAACAGCAAGGCAGAGTACCAGGGTAGTTTAGAAGCAGATGAAGATATCTTTCAAATCTGGGGGCTCATTGAGGGGTTCATGGAGGAGATGATATGGGAACTATTCTTTGAAAAATGCAGGGAGGGGTCTTCAATGGTCAAAACTGTGAGAGGAGATCATTCCAGCAAATGGGCTGTTACGACCAAAGGTCAGGAGGGTTTAGTTCAAGGTCTCTGGTTGGGGGGGTGGGCAGGACAGGTAAGGAAAAGAAGTCTAGAAGATATATAGGGAAGTAGGTAGGTTAGGTCAAGGAGGGTTCTGAATTCCAGAGTAAGAAGTTGGGACTTCATTAGGCAATAAAAAGTCAATAAGATGTTTTTATTTTTGTGTTTGTTTGCTTGTGTTTTTTTGTGTATATGCATGGTTTTGGGAAGAGTGAGGTGGAGTAAAAATACCAGATTTGTATTTTATCAAAAATAACCTGGTAGTGCTCTGTTAGATGGATTATGTATTAACTAAGGTAATGCCCTAACATCTGTAACAAGTAAACCCCCAAATTTCAACATGGTTGGAGATGAATTTTCTTCACATGGTCACCGAGGGACCCAAACTCCTTCCACCATGTGGTTCTGCCATCCCTTCGAGCCACTATGTATTCTGCATTCAATCGATGGGAGGGCAAAGAGACTAAGGAGAAGCCCCATCTACTTCTTAGCTGCCTTAGCCCAGAGATGACACCCTTCACTTTTACATCCATCTCTTTGGTAAGAACTAGTCACATGGATGAAAGGGAGCTAGGATATGTAGTCTCTAACTAAGAGACACATCTCAGCAACAAGTCCTCCCTGTGAATGGGGGATTAAAGTCTTTGGCAGACATGGCTTTTACTGCCGCAGATTTAAAGGAAGAACACTAGAATGGGAGACCACTGAGAAGCCTTTACAATAAGCCGACAGGAGTGGAAACTCTGGTCTGAGCCAGGAAACAGACAGAAGGAATGGGCAGGAGGGGATG